CAGCTGCAGCAACGACAGTGGCAGCAATGGCATCAATTCAGGGCAACAAGCTCATTCCGGCGCAAGGACCTTGACGATTCCAGTTTGGTAGTTTGTTAAACACTTGAAATTCGATAATAAGTTTAACGCAAATATTTTCTTTTCGAACTAACTTCTTATCATGAGAGATGTGGTGTGCGCGCTCGGTTCACTCGTTGCTTCGCCCAACCAATTCCACGTGGAATCGTCGATGTGCATGTTAAATGACATACAAAGTTTCGCTTCGGATTCAAAGATAAAAGTATTTAAGATAAATTATCTGCCAATTTGTAATACATTTATATTTAAATTAATTCAATTTCAAGGGATCTCTTTATGATAGATCGCAAAGAGATTTTCATGTTGTTGTCGTTTTCCGGTCCATGGGATAAAACGATAATATGCTCGTTTATTTGCACACGGTGAAACACACTTAACACAAATCATTGAGATTCTCTTCAACTTGCACTTACGTTTCACTCATTCAAAAATTCGTTTCAGTCTCCATCAGCGTGTGCGAGAGAACGTCACCGTGTCTCCACTCTCTCGCTCCTTCTCAATCTTTGCTTAAGCTTTGTGTATCACTTTGCTCATACCATCCTCCACAGCATCATCAGCAGCTGCAGCATCCCTCTCACTCTCTCCCTGTTTCTGTGTATCTGGTTGAAGCGCGCGCGGCATGCATTAAATCTTGTTTTCAATATTATTACGAGCATAAGTACCACGCTCGGTACATCATCTCCCAGCATCATCTATCCCGTGGATGCGCTGCCAGACAATACCCAATCTCGATTCCATATACACACACACCGCATAGTTGATTTGTGCACGCAAACAAATGACTCAAACTATTGTATAAATAGCAATTTTTCACCGATCATTAAATAAAGTGGAAGACCACTGCGGAGCGAGAGAGAAAGAGAGAGAGAGAGAGAGAGAGAGGGCGCGCGTTACGTTTGCATTCGCAAACTCGAGGATATCGGATAGGATTCGCCACATTGCCTCTCACCCTCGCACTCTCTCACGCTCTCTCTCGCACACACGCACATTGCCTTTCTTTTCCTATCGCATTCCCGTTCTCATTCCACATCACTCATCTCATTTGCCATCGTCACGCCCATCACATTGCTGTTACCATACCGCTCCATTATTAGCGCTTATTTCAATTTAAATACTGTTGCTCGTTATTTATTCGAGTTTGTGTTTTTTTTTCCTGTCCACTATCCAAACTATTCAAACTAGTCTCTATCCATCTAGTTTGCGAATCAAATGGTGTACATTTGAAATTAATCAGTTTTATTGGTTCGCATGTAATTAAACGATTCAAATTAGTTTGATGAATTGCCGGTGTTTATCTAGTGTAGTCATCGCAATTGAATTTAGTCAATTTGAAAATTTTCGGCGCCGCTATGAATTGTGATTCGGTTTGACGATTGAATTTATTGTTTGGTTGGTTTTTCACACCATCGCCATCAATATTATTGGCGGTTCACGCACCATATCCAAGGTGATTTCACCATTTTCTTTTGATGGATTATCGCCCGAAAAAAAGAAATTCGATGTAAGTGCAGAAGAGAGGGAAAGAGATTGATTGAACTAAATGAGAAATGAAACCTCAAAGATCAAACCGAACACCTACTGAACTATAACATGAAATACGAGCAAGGAAAGTTGATATGTACGCAGATACACATACTTCTTGACCTTTGTTATTATCTGACTAATGAGTGTACGATTCCGAATCGAACTGTAATGCTTAACCTGTTCTCGCAATTATGAATCGGTGTTTTTACTTCATTAACGTCAGAAACAAAGACTCTTCACGTCATTTGCCACGCATACAAATACACACAGAGAGAGAGAGACAGACACACATGCAGCTGACTCGAGCTGAAATTGAAATGATGGCACAAGAAAGGAAGCATAACAAAGCGGCCAACAAAACAAGCTTTCTACGTAACTGTTATTATTATTTTCATTCTTTCTTCTACTTCTTCATCTTCTTTATCTGGTGATGTTGTTTTGTGTAAGAAACGCGTATCAAAAAGAGTGATAGAGTGTGTGTATCGGACACATTTTCCTTGATAATTAGTGCACTAATTATCTTTTTTTTCTATATCTCACTTTGCTGCTTTTGTTGAAGTGTAAGCCCAAATATTTGCAGCCCCATTTTACAACACAGCAAAATAAATTGAAATCGTCGAGTAGGAATCGCGTGAAACATTTTTTTTTCATCGTTGTCGCCGTCGTCGTTATCGTCTCCCATTCGTTCTCTTCGTCTCTCTTGTAGAATACGATGAAAATAAGAAGATATCACAACGAATTCAGTTTGTTGTGCCCGGTTGCAAAGGGACGATGGCGGGAGGTAGGGCGAAAAGTAACAATGAACTGAAGGAAATCATCCGTAAGTATGCTAAAGCATTTTAAGTGGAGAGTCAAATCCGTGGAACAGTTGAGAGTGGCTTACGGTTGAGACTACTAGATTTCGAGTGTACTTGTGGGATCAAAATTCATTTCCACAGTGTGGAACGCAAAAATGTTAACGTTTTAAATTGAAAAACGCTTTTTACTTCCATCAATTTGATTCTCAATGATAATTGGTTGTTCTTCAAATCGTCCACACCGGCCGAAGAAGTTTACGAAAATTATTTCCCTTTTTTTCGGCGTTCGACACACTATACTATAAATTCCATTTGAAATGGGATTCGTAGAGTTTTCTCCAATTTTTTTTTGCTCGAAAAACATTACCTGGTTGAAAAAAAAAGCCAAGCTTCGAATTAGGTAATGTGTACACAGGATACAAAAATGCCAAAAATTTCATTAATTTAACAAAGTAATTTGTTGTAAGTGGAATGAAGCCAGGAGCACAAACGATACCCATCCTCCAAGATTTTGTTACTCATATAAACCACTTGACACTTTAATTATTTGAATCGGTGAACAAAACTTATTCCCTCGCTCGCTCGCTCATTCGCTTTATCTCTCCCTATTTTTCCCCATAAATTCACACCGCATACTCAAATAACAAACTAATAACTAAGCGCATGAGGTAAAACTCACTTTTAACTATTCAATCGTCGGAATAATGCGTCGACAAGGAAATTTTCCTCCCGATAAACTTGATTAGTGAGAGATCAAACATGTGATTTGTAATAGATTCATTGCACTAATGAAACTCTTTGGACAGTTTGGCACATATGCAAACATCATGTTTATGCTTCGTCACAGAAATTTAAATCATTGGTGCGTATTCAACATTTGTGAGACAACACATGTATATGAAATGGACTTGATGAGGGCAAACTCACAAAATACCGCAAATCCACCGTTCTTTGTATGTGTGTGTGTGTGTGTGTGTGTGATCCCAAATTCCTTTACCTGCACCGTATAGTATCCGTTTATTGTTTCTGGATCCGTGGGCACTGGGCAGGCTCATTTTGAGGTGGCCAATCATCAAAGGCCGAATTGTTCAAGGGTGTCTTTCCAAGTTTCGCACTTTTCGAAATGCGAATAAAACTCAATGCGAAAGAAGTTCTGAAAGAGTGAATTGAATGAACGCGCTCAGGTGAAACAAGGGGATATTTTGCTTGGTAATAATAAGAGCAATAACAACAACAACAACAAACGAAATAACAATAGGGAATAAAAATATACGTAGTGTAAATACGTGAATTATTGCGGCTGGTAGATTGTTGTTTGTAAATGCTTCGACGCAATTGTTTTCATCATATTATCGACCTGGTTTTGTTCGGTAAACATTTAATTAAATTGATTTTAATTAGCGGTTTTAAAATGGAATAGTTTATAACTCTCTGTCTCTCTCTCGCTCTCTCCCTCTTGGCTCTGGCGAAACGCATGTTAAATGCGCCTCAACGATTTTATGTGCCTTCATCGCTCGAAAACCATTTCACCAAAAACCACATGGCATTATCGCTGTAATTAAAACATTTCATGTGAAATTCTTTCCCTTTGCATCAATAAAATGGTGGAATCATCGTTGATGCAACCGTTCCTAAAATTCATTCAGGAATTATTATTTTTTGCCGGAGCGATGTCGGTGAGAGGGTGTGAAGGCGCAAGCAAATGGAAAATACGCTAAACAAGATGACGATAACTGTATACAGTTGCTTTGCATCATTATGATGAAGATAAAATTCGTATTTTATAGGCTTTTCTTAAATAGTTTTTTCCACTAGCATTTCATGAGCCAGTGCGACGGATGGCTCTTTTGAATGAAATGAACGAGTCTTCGTCTCTGGAGCAATTTCTGTACCATCCTTTTCATCATGGAAATATGAATTGAACCGTGTCGTTTATTATTCAATTAAAATCCTACATAAATCATAAAAGTTTAAGTTTTGATTCAACATCGAAGAAGAAGAAGAAGAAGAATAAGAAGAAGAAGAAGATTATCATTTTCTGGATGCGGATTTTAAACTCACCTCTATAATGACATCAATGACGGAGTTGTCAAATGCACACAAAATTACGCACATGTCCAAAAACTGAAATTGATGAACTGCTCTCTCTATCTCTCTCCGTGCTCATGTGCATTAACAGAGTGTGCCATGGGACACATACATCTATACCCAAGCAGCTATAAAATATGAAAATAATCTTATGGCCAAAATTTATGTGCGTTTGTCCTTCTCCCCCAAAGTCATTCTCCCCCATGACTATCATCCACTTTATGTGGGGAAGGCATTTTTCTTTTTTAATTCTCACACGTAATTAATGGATGCTCTCAATGAGGCTCACTTTCTTTCCCTCAACATCATCGATATTTCCATACGAAATTAAAATAAATGCCGGCATACTTCATCACAAATGTTGTGTAAAATTTTCTTCGGCATTGCATTCGACCGGATTCATTATATAAAATTAAAATTACTTCCATTGGGCTGTGGCTTCGGAGTTCGGTGTCCGAACATTCATCTTCAATAAATTATTCCTTCATTAAAATAGACAAGGCGATAAACATGTACGGTAGTACAAGTTTCAATTTTTTTTTTACATATTTAATCAAACACTCTTTCATATTGACAGAATAAAATGTTAACAATGCCTTCGTTCATTTAACATATTTTTCGCAGAAAATTTACATTTTCGAATTGTCCGAATATTTTCATTTTATTTTTTGTTCTAGGTTTTTTAAATAATTATACTAAAAATTGTATTTGAGAATCAATTCACATCAATATCGGAAAGTGTTTTGTTTTTCTCGTGAAATAGTTGGCTACAATGCTAAAACGTATGTTTCTCAGTTGAGTCTCAAAACAGCAAAAAAAATACAATCTACATGTATAAGTTAAACCAGAGTTTCGCTTGAGTCAATGGCTAGAGATTTTTTTTTTCATCATCTTCACCGAAACTCTAGCATAAATTATGAGTCATTATTTAATTAGAGACGCTGATGTGTTCATGAATTTCATGTTAAAAATTACTTCTATTCCATGTTAAATTTTTCTAACAACTCTTGTTTCCATCGCCACAAGCAGACTCGAGCACGATCGTACACATTTCCGGGCGAATCCATTGCAGGTCGAACATCCAACAATGCAAATCGATAATGTTCATCGGGACTGCCGCCGTCATAGTAATCGATGATGTAACGCACATCCTGTCCACATCGGTCAACAATCCAGTCATGACGATCGAATGGCAATTCGTATCTGTGCAACGAATAACAGATTTAGATGAATGATGTAAAAATGTTAAAAATGATGAAATTCGAAAACTTTGGCCGGAGCCGAAACGACAAATCGAATAAATATGTGAACAACATACCCGAGCCAATTGCGAATGCGAGCTCTTGGACTGAAATCTTTGGCTTTGCCACCGAAACTCTTCAATCGTGGATTGCCACACTCTCTAGCGTGTAACGCTTCCCATTTAAGCACCTCTTGCCAGGCTTGTTCATTGTTGGCATTGTGAATTTTGATGATATTGTCCATGTCATGTGGCTTCAAATCATCCTTTTTCCATTGCCATCCCTTGCGCAACATTGCATTCCAGAACATTTGTTGACTTGGATACACCCAGAATTCTTTTTTCTCACCTTCGGTTGCCTTTGGTATCGTTGAAACTTGTCGATCTGTGGGTAGTGGAAACGGTTGATCTGGTGCTCGGTTTTGATTAGCTGGCGGCATCTAAAAATCACATTTTTTTCGACATCCATAATTAGAAAATGGGCTTAAAACGAATGAAAATTCCACAACATACCATATTATACGGATTGATGTCATTGTCATTATTTATCACGGGACATTCGCTGACTGATGCTGCTGGTTTTGCTACTTTTTGATGCATTGGACATTCGGGTGGTGGTGTACCGGAAGTCATATCGAATTTACTATGATCAGGAACTAGATCTGGTTTATTTGATGCATGTGTTATTCCTGCGGCAACCGCCTCAGCCGCTGACACCGTGTTTCCCATCTGAAAAATAGCATTGAACAGCAATTAGCAACACTAAAAACTACAAACGACGTTGACCACGTTTGTTATATAATGAATGAGGAAAAAACAATGATTTCCAAGCAAAATGTGCACATTTTAATGAAATAACCGTGAAAGTAATGAAATTTCATTGAACATTTGAAAAAAACTACTTACTCTTGCTTTTGTTTGTTGAGTAATTTGAAACTATTCAGATATTGATTTATTGGTGTCAAAGTTATGTTGTGAAATAGATAATTTGAGGTTAAGAGCACAGCATGCAATAGTGAATGTCAAATGGGTTGCATATCGATTTATATGAACTGAATCCGCACAAGCTTTCGAAGCTTATTTTGACACATGTATTTTACAAGTGGAGACGCCTCGCTCAAAATCTATTTCTTTGAAATGGAAGTGAGTTCGTTACACAAAACAAGTGGGTTTTGTCGCAAACATTCCGACGCAAATTCGAGCCATTTCTACGTGTTGTAAAAATATAAAAAAAAATATTTCTGTGAATCATCGTGATTATCATTACAATGAATGCCTTATCTCTGCAATTTCCGTTTTATTTTTATTTCTTTCTATGTCCACGTTCGATTTAGTTTCAGTTGATATATCAATTTACGACAAATATTTTTTTTTCTCGAAAAATTTCCTCAATGATGTTTATAGCCGTATTTTTTCGATCATCATTCATCGCCACCGAGTCAAATAAAAATTGAATGCTGAAAATTCCCCGTTGAAATCGAGCGCTCGCATGAAAATGTGCTTAGAATTTAGGTGAGGGAGAGAGGGAGAGAGGGAGAGAGAGAGAGAGAACAAGTGTTATGTCGCAAACATGCTTATTTCGTCATCCAATGTGCGATTTAGACAGACTTGTAATCAAGTTGGCGACTGGCCATGCGGAAAAAAGCGCGCTGCAAAACGTGTCATTTGAAGTGTATTTAGCACGTGTTAATTATTGTGTTAAGGAAGGAACGGAGCGACGACTGTATGTATGTTATGTGATTTTTTTCGCTCACCTTTTCTCTTTTTCTTTCTCTTTCTCTTTCTCTCCCTCACTCTGTCTCGCTCTCTGCACTTTTCGAATGAAAAGAAGGGAAAAATAAAGCTTCTTACTGCCATGGAGTAGCACACCTATTGCAATTTACTTTTTTTTTCGGTCGCTGTGAATAAACACACGACGCGATATAATACAAATAACGTTGAGCTCGTGCCTATTTTATTGTTTGATAACATGTGGCAAAAAAACGTGCTCTCGACTTGAAATCGATTCGTGTCAATTTTGGCAAACACATAATCAAGCACATTTTGCAAAGCCAAGTGACCATATACCACTTTGGCGATGCGGAATGCACGACGGAAAGCCCATTAAAATACAATTATTTCAGAATAGAATGAAGTTCAAAATAATACAACAGCTACCGCGACCGCAACGACGACGACGACGACGACGGCAACGGACGGTAATAAGCACGGACCGTACACAGTACAAAGCTGTGTAAATGCGATCCAACCATTGCATTTATTTAAATAAACAATTGGTTTGTCGGTCAACGTATTCGTATGAAAATTCTTATTTTTGCGCTGACTCAGCCGATCCCGATTCCAATCCGTCGATTTGTTCGATTCGACGAAAGTGGTGGGCATGTGAGAAGTAATATCGATTTAAATCGAGTACAAGCAGCAATATTGCACTTTCAAGTGCAAAACGTTTTCCTTTATTTTCCAGCGATTCGTTGTTATTTGCCGATGCGAACAACTTTTACTGCTTTTCACACGTTTATGACAAAAATCGATTGGAATTGTCGTATGGCAGATATCTTATCGTTTCAGTTCAACAAGTAGCCGAGTCATTGTAACGAAACAGCCGTGAAAACAGAACAAACCTATCTGCATATGTGTTATATGTGTATGTATATGACGTTTGTCTTTGAATTTGAAGTCGGTTGGATTTTTGTTTTTTAGTTTTGTGTTCAGGCGAAAATATTCCATTCGGTCATATCGTACATGCCCATTTTTCTTGCCGGATGCGATGGAAAAATGTGAAACTATTGTTAAAGCACTGACTTGACGCCACGGAACAAAGTAGCACGACAAACGATTAGAATTTGAACAGATCATAAATAAATGGAGGAGAGAGAGAGAGAGAGAGAGAGAGAGAGAATTTCTCAACCATTTTATTTTGCTTTCTTCTTCTATTCACTCTCACGCTCCATTCAAGTGCTACATATGAGCAGAATTTTTTTTTCCACAAACCGCTTATATCTGGTGTTATTTACAAAATTACGAACAAAATATTTTTATGCACCGAAGACGACCTATCGTTTGTCTTTCATTGAATCATGTCAACAGAAGCATTTTCTGCGCGTTGATATAACATAGTTGTTGACGTGTTCATCACGTTGAAATTATCATGAACATAAATTGAAAATTAATAACAAAACAAACGAAGAAAAACAACGCTCACACATACGTTACATAATTGGTTTCGTGTGTGTTGTTGATTCCGAATTCTTTTTCTGCATATTCAATTTAAACATTTTCAGAGCACAAAAGATCAAATGAGTCTGCAAAGTTACATGAACGCCCTGTTCCTCTCACTCTCGTTCGGTTCGTCAAACTTCCGTAACATGTGCCCCATAATATGATGATACGATGAACATGACCCAACAATAACGAACACTCTGCAAAACCAAATTGTGGTTTCAGAATTTTCTCAAGGCTATTACCGTATTAGAAAAAAAAATCCTAGTCAAATTACGAGGAAAAATCATAATTGTTCATCGAAGCTGAAATGTTTATTTTTCCTTTTCTTTCTGCATGACATGAATCGACCGAGAAAATATTTTTTTTTCGCCGTAAGCAAGCAACGGAAAATAAAATTTTTCTTTCCTTTCTCTCTGTGAGTTTCTATTTCTCTTTCTGTTTTTCCTGCATGTGAACAGCTTAAATTAATAAATGAGTTTTCCCGCAGCCGATTGAGTTACCATGCACACATTTGCGATGGAAAATTTTCTCTGCAAAATGTTTGTATCCAGGAATATTTTAATGGGGCACACAAATAAATGCGCACAATGCATGTTAAACACATGTACAGCCACACACAATGTCACCAATGTCTTGCACACACAGAGCGTGAGATAGAGAGAGGGAGAGATAGAGAGAGAGAGAGAGAGAAGGAGAAAAAAAGTGAATTATTAAAAGTCGCGCACGTGACTGGAAATCAGACAAGCATAACCCAATCACGTGACGCATGACGTCAAATTTCATGATTATAATCTGTTCCTCTCACATTAGCGATATACGTGAGCACGGTCCGCTCCCAAATGGAGTACACAATGCCATTGAATGACTTATTGCTAATATTCAAACAAAATCAAGTGTGGTGGGTTTTTTTTCTGTCTTTGTTTTTCCTTTTTATTTTTCTATTGCTTTCCTTCGTATTCGCTTTCGCACTTTGTTTGTTTCGATTTCGTCGTTTTCGGTACTATTTCTCGGATTCTTTGTTGTTGTTGTTGTTGTTGTGTTCACTACTACTATTTTTACGATGACGATGAACAAGTTTTTGACTTATTAAACTGAATACATATCATATGTATCATAGATATTCAAGTGGGTCTTTCGACAATAAATGACTTGGAGTTTTGTTTGAAGAACGAATCGAAATAAAAAGAACGAAGAAAACGAAAAATAACAAACCGGTTGATTGGTCGCACTTAGCGTCAATTATTATCGGCATTCGAATGCTCCATTTGCAGTTATCAAAAATTCAAATGAACATTTTATTTACATTGTTTCAAATTTTGTCGTCATCGTCGCCGTCGTGGTTGTTGTCGTCGATGATTGCTCTTTGGATGTGCTCAAGCAGAGCATTCAAGTAAATGAGAACAATATGGCCAACGAAAAAAAATTGTGTATTCTATGTAAGTCACACCACTTTCATGTGAAAATTATCGAAGGTTTTTGAATGTGGTGATAACTCTCCAACCAAAATAAAAATAAAACAAACAGAAAAAAAAACAAAAACAAACGATGGGAATCCGTGTGTGTGTGTGTGTGTATGTGCGGAATTGATTGTGTGTGTCTCTCTGCTCTCTCTCTCTCTCTCTCTTTGGTTTGCATACAATTTACCGATATGTGTATGCGTTTCGCGTTGGTTCGATCGTGTTCTTTCCGTCATGTCATATATCATTGTTCATTCGCTCGTACGATATGCTCGTTTTGGCTATACAGAGGCGCTCATTAACCAAAACAAGATAAAAACCGAATCTAAATATCGTCATCTTCGTCATTATCCCAAAACACTTTTGTTTTTGTCTCATTTCGAATGCCCATTTAAACATGAGCCTCGACTCTAATTTGTATATACATCCAAATGTGTATAATGTATATATACTCTCGTGATCTCGGCTAATTGAATGCGTTGCTGTACATCGATACCGAGAACCTCACCAAATATTTCAGACATCAGCACGTTTTACGGTGTGGTATCGACACAACTAAACACACATTTAACGCAATGTGGCCTGAACTTACGTCAAACGATACCGAGCGCGCACACACAACCCAACAAACACAAAAAAAATATGAATAATTCGGTCAAACAAACAGTTTTCGGTACATTTATATTTCGGGTCGGTGAGACCAAAATTTTCCAAAAGAATCACTTACCGCAATCAAAATCAGGCGGAGAGAGGCAGAGAATGAGCTTGAGAGCGTGAAAGAAAGATAGGCAAGCGGTATCGATGGCAAACATCAGTGCCGAACCTGAAATGGGATTTTTTGTTGTTGGTCGTACCAATGGCAACCATACAGTATAAATACTTGAATTGACAATATTTTTTGTTTGCCATGGCTCTGGCAATGCTCCTTATCACAATGTGTCCATATGGACCCAAAACTCGGTTCAATTTCAATTGAATTGTGTGTACGGTGTGTATGCGGTTCGGGATTAAACACACCCAATGTGCTGTGTGTGTCGCACACTCATTCATGCCAGTCGTTCTACTGTGCGGTGCGTGTTTGTTTTCAAAAATAGAAGCGGTCCATGTGTATGAGAGGCGATGACGTATTATCCGTTTGAATGTGCAAACCGTTTATGAGCGTGTCGAATACTTATCGGTTGTTCGGCCATTGATACATAGCTTCGACTCGTTCAACGCCGAATGGGAATCGTTTGTTCAAAGTCGAACGAACTAACCCATCATGCCGATTGTTCGGTGCTCTGATTTATTTACTACTACAAGTGCGTGACACATCGTCAGCCATAGCAGTTTCTCTCTCTTTCTCTCGCTCGCTCTTCATTCACTCACAACAATATCAGCGCCAATATACTCAATACACACTGTGTATATCGTACGCTCTGTGGTAAGAGTGTTGTGTTCACGTGAACTCGACTCGAGCATACACAATAAAAGACAGCGCACCGTACAGTGCTCCACAACTGCTGTTGGCCGCCGTTCTGTGGGCGATATCATACACATAGGAAAGAAAGAAGAAGAAAAAACTGCGTTCGATGATGTTGACTGTTCAGCTGTACAGTGTGAACACCGAACACTGTGTTCGGTTGTGCTTTCAGCATATATACAACGACATGGCAAATATTTCCATTTAATGTGTCAGATTTATTTTTATTGTTGTGTATATATTCACATCATAGTCGTCGTGGTCGTCGTCATTGTCGCTTACATTTATTTCATATATCCGTTCACATTTAGTACTCCGCACATCGTTGTCTAAGACAGTTAAAAGTCGTTATTAAACGAGCTCTGTAGCTATTTTAGTCAGATTTTTTTTACTAGTAAATTCCAAATCGAAAGACCGAGACCGATTATTTGCTACAATTGATTTTCAATTGGTGGAATAAATTTTTTGTCGCATACATAACTAGAACGACAATTTCACGGTGAAAACAGCTGTTTTGTCGTGTGTGTTTTTTTTTTATTTATCATCATCATCATTTTGAATCGGGAGAGCAATCCATTCATAAGAACGCAGCAGGCGATATAGTACGAATAGAGAGAAAAAGAGAGCGAGAGAGTAAGAGAGTAAGAGAGAAAGACAGGAATATAAACATCGTCAGCGATAAAACAGTGCAACGAGATAATAAAGAGTAAAAGTAACGTAATCAACACATCATCAGAGCAGAAAGGAAGAAAATCCAATCGGAAAAACCCAACAACCGCATACAATACACACTTGAGTTCCTCAAACTGTCACACAAAAGTCAAATTGATTTGATTTTTCGTCTCAGCAATTTTTCGATCAGTTTGAGTTTGACAATATATCGATGATATATTTGTGTAATTCTTTTTCGTAGACGTCGACGTCGTCGTTATCATTGTTGCTGTCATCATTATCATCATCAACAACAACAACATCATCGCCATTCAATCAAGCTTTGAATTTCATCGAATTCAAATCGAAAATCGATGTGTATTTTGCCATAGACCGACAGAGCAGCTATTTCGCTAGTGGTGGCCGCATATGGTTTAGTAACTTCTCCTATTATAACTGTTACTTATCAGTCACATTGGCTACAGCATACAAATAGACGCGCACACAGGAACTTAAAAAAAAATTGTGTTTCGTTTCGTTCGTTCGTTCATTCGGTTCATTCATTTGTTTGGTTCGCTTGTCTGTCTCGGGCGGCTCGCCGTAGTATATATTCGGTTATTAATTTGTTGTTCTCGCTCTTCGCTACACGGTGTGTGTCATTCGGTTGAATATCGCTCTCGTGCGCGCATTCGCTCGATAACATTTGTGTATGCATTACATTTATAAATTACAATCGCATCGCACTCTACTGGGCTATAAGAACCAAAATAACTGCACTTAGCGCTTTGCAAATGGAAACAACTCAATAATTGCCGATCTTAATCAACAACAATTCAATCCAATTCTCCTCCGTCGTGAGTGCTTGTGATAGTGTATGTGTGTGTGTGTATCTGTCTACAGAGCCAACAGTCGCAATCAGTTTACTTCAAGATAATCAAGTGAAAACTTCGCAATCACACACGCTATTGTTAAATCGACGTTTTGTTTTTCTTTTTACCGAAGCTGACGAAAGAGAAAAAAAACAACAGCACACAAACTAATTCCAGTAGTGAAAGAAATGAATTTGTGCAAATCGACGAAGCAGATAAAATTAATTAAGCCACCGATTTGAATAAGAAGAAGAAGAAGAAGAAGAAAATCAGACAAAACAAAATAAAAATAAAAACAAAAGTGATTTTTTATTTGTTCATGCAAATACGTATAAATCTAAGCGCATTTCTAGTAGAAGAATCCAAGTACCCGCAGTTACCGGTGTGACGTACAAAACGACACACACACAAAAAAGAAACAAAAACAAAATAAACACGACCTAATGTAAAAAGTTATTCAAAAACCAAATAAACCGAATCTGTGTCATTCAATCGAAAAGACTGGAACATTTTCTAAAAATAAACGCCAAATTTATGTGACAGTCAGTTAAAATAGTCAATTCAACGGCCCATTGTGTAAATTGATTTTCACATCGATCCAAAATAAAGTGGTAATAAAAGTGCGTAATATATCAGATAATTTACCCATAACACACATTGAAGTGTGTGCATTTCATCGTGTTCGCTTTTTTATTTGGCTGTCATCGTCTCTTCAATTATCGACGTTGATTTGAATGTGAATCGAAAAAAAACAGCAAATTAGAAGCAAGCACCATCAAACTTATTGATTTTTGACAACACACATTTGTGAACACGACACATAAATAATATGTTTAAATTTTTTGTGAATTCATCAACGAAATACATAATAAAATAACTGTGATCGTCGTACAGTGACATTCAGGACCAAATAGCATTGGGTGCGTTTGAGATAGAGAACGAGATAGAGAATAAAGCAAACAATTCATCCGATTTGTCTGTTGCGGAAGAGCATTTGAATTGAACGCGCGATACATATTGATACCATATTTCAAATCGTCGTCACAGACATTGCGACTACGTAAACGAAGTGCTGGTTGTTTTGCAAACGAAGAAATTGGCCGAGCGAGTGAAACAGTGTTTTTCTCTTTTTTTACTTGAACACTTTTAGTAAATTTAATGTGTAAGCCACAAGTGTTTTATTACAAAAATTGTGTTGTGTTATTTTATCGAAAACCTCGTTACACACATTACTGTTCCGTTTGGAATATCTTATTGGGTACAGTCTATCAAACGTGCAAAATTTGAAGTATTCGCAATTTGGTGCGCTTCACACTTAGCAACGAAAAATCATATTTTTCGTTTTCATTTGTAATTTTTCGTTCCATTTGATTAAAAACAAAAATTAACGAAGAGAATAAAAATAAAGAAAGGAAGGAAGAGGTGAGAGAGAGAGAGAGAGAGAGAGAGAGAACAAACGAGCGAGAGAGGAAGAGAGCCGAGCAAGAGGTCGATAGAGACGGAAAGGAGGAAAGTGTTAGCGGCGAGTGAAAGATACGGAGAGAAAATTGAGGGAAAAAAAACACACACACACATAAATCGGTTGTTGTTGCTATTTTGTGCATGTGGGTGAGTGAGAAGAGGACGGAATCATAGAATAAACAAAAAGTTTCACAAGGCAAACTACAGCTACGGTCGCATCACCGGTGTACACACATCGCTCGCAAATCGAAGAAAGTCGTCGTCAAGAGCGAATTCGACATTTCAGAAGAAAAAGAAAGAGATATAATTCCAGCTGCACAACCAATTACGTGCGAACAATTTTTTTGGACCAATTTTGCTGCCATATTGAACTGAGTGTGTTTTTTTCGGGAGGTGTATACTTCGTTCATCAATCTCTTATTCATACCAGGCAACCATTCAATTCGACTCGTCGTTAACAATACGAAATTTCGTCGTTCGAAAATCGAAGCAGCAATCGCATTGCGGAAAGTTCAACATCTTATTTATCGAATCGCATGGTATCGGTAGCAGCAAAGGCAGCCCCAACAACAAAATCCACCAGCAGCAGCAACAGCAGCAAACACACAACAGGACATCATAAACAGTAGAAAATCTAGAATTCAAACGTGTCTAGTTTGCTGTTCTGTTACGCCATCAAAACATCTAACCGAGAGAAGCGAGACCTTCAGCGACTTGTTGCGTCAATTGCTCACCCAATACACATATCGCTCTAGATAGCAGTAGCAGCAGTAGCAACAGCAGCACAGCTATTCTTTTGTTAGCTTCCACTCGTCTTGTGTGCGCTCCTCATTGCCGCCGCATTCACATTGTACTCTGTGTGTGAACATCGAACATTCAACATTCCGTTTCATCGCGTACCGAAGCGAGAGGCACAGCAGAGAGGCATTCGATATCCCAACGAAAGCGATTTTCAGTTGCTTTGGCAGGCATCTTTAGCAGCGGCAGCTACAGTATCAGCAGCCATGGAGCCAATTTGGGAACAGAACAATCATATAGCGCATCAAGTCAAGTACGAGAGGTGAGTGTGCCCCAATTTTGTCAATCATATACGTGTATCAATGAAGACGCCAATCGCCGACACGCAACCGGTGCACAGATATTTTCTATGCTTTTGCTTGTCTCTTACCAACGGCTTGGCCCCTCTCTTCCATAGTTTCTCTATAGAAAGAGATGCATGTGCATCAAACCAATGACGTTAAGATCACTTGAGACACACTTAACTTTGCCAAAAATCAATGAATGACACACACGGTATCTCAATTTTTTTTCTGACGAATTTGTTTGGAAAAATATGAGAAAGAGATCAGGGCTTCCTATGCATATACACACAACTCCATATTTCGCATAAATACGAGCACCATGCGTGCGTATGTTCGGTTTTGTGTGTGAACGATACACCGAATCACACGTCCACTAAATATACGATTTTTATTGAGACTAAATTTTTTTTCTCTTCATTTTCTATATTTATATAAAATTTATGCGCGAAAAGCAACAAACAGTTAAAAAGTACGAAATATATTGAGCTGAGAGTGAAACCAGTTTCAAGTTGTTTTTCCGTCACACAATCGCACAATCATTACTTCATTTTCACTTGTTGTTCCTCATTGCTTTTTTTTCTACGTACATATGATTATCGAAACGATGTGAAGAATCGTGAACAGAGCAGTATGTATAATATAATATGTGAGCAACAAATAGCGAACGGAAAAAAAGGCACAGAAGAAAAAAAAATTGAGCCGTCATAAAAATGCTGTACGATCGTACTGTTAAGGACGTGACTCCGATTAAAATATAGCAAATGAATTGAAGAAGGAAAAAAAATTAATATAAGTGACACACAACTGTATATAATTCAGTTTTGTAAAGCTGTTGTCCACTTGATTCGGTTTTTTCCTCTACTTATTTTCTTCCAATTGGCTTATGGCCACGATAAACGTGCGAGACGAACGACCGACCGTACGAACGAACAAACAGCAGGAGAATCTACTTAATCACAGTTATGAAGAGGGGCAATTAAATGGAAAAGCGACAAAAAGCTCGCGACAAATTTCAACGTTTTTCGACCACACATCGATCGATTATTGTGAATACGTATCACAAATCGCAAACTCAAAATGGCTGCAATATTCCTAGCCGAAAAAAATTCAATGTGAATTTATATTTTGTGTTTTCTTTTTATCAGTCGAGTACAGAGCAAACATGTTCAATTCGCTCGAAACGCTTGCCTCATCATATTAAAGAAGAAAAGACGCCAAGCCGTATATGAACAATTCAAAATTATTTCTGTTTCAGATGTGCCATTTCAGCGGTTTCGTAATCACACTTCTCAATAATTTTCAAATGCCGACACGTGATCGATTAGCATGAAGTTCACTTTGGCGATAAGAAATGTTAATAAAAATAACTAAAACTACATGCAGTCGGGAGAGAGAGAGTGAGCGCTGGCGAGAGAGCGAATATGAACAAAAAAAATTGTAGTGATCGCAATTTCCATACTTGATTAAAAATCCGATTTGTTGCGTGGCTTTTTTACGGTTATTTTGCTAAATTTAGCTAAAGCATATGCTCAAATTAAAACGCTAACTACTTTTAGAATCGGCAAATACACATTAATAATTATCGCGACCATATTTTTACCTCCCCCCCCTCTCTCTCTCTCTCTCTCTCGGTCGGTGTTTCTCCACTCAGACCATACTCTTGACAAATGAAATCCACGACACACAAAAAAATAATAATGTTATGCGGTGTTATAGAATTATAATCTGATCTGAATTATAATTAAAGTTATCTGAGAATTTGATTTGACTTTATGGGATTCGATCAACAAGTTTGAAGCATACTTGACGTGATATGGTGGCATTTTGATTGCACGATATTTTCAATTACATTCTTGAACTTCGGTGGGCTTTCTGCGAGTTTTTTCTTCTTCGTTCGTTCGTTTTTTCTTTCTTCCATTCCAATACATAAACACATTTGTTTCGCCTTATCGTTGGGGGGCTTTCAAACAATTTTCGTGTTCAATTATTATTATCATCAAACGTGTTTTATATTATATAGAATAACATAAACAACAACTGCAACATAATGCAAACCGATCGAAACCAACAAAAAATTTATTAAGAAGTCGAAGCGAATAAAAAAAATAAGAAGTAGAAAAAAGTCATCGACAAATATTTGTCTAAAAATAGAGTTGTGTTTCAAGTCCGAGCAACACCATGATGAAACACAAATAATATTCCATTCAAATTTTAGGTATATTTTTATACATCGATTCAGACAGACCATAATATTTATTCACGATTCGCATCGGGCGAGTGTGATTTCGAAAAATGATAAATTTGAATTTTGTCGCTTTTGAAACGAAATAAAAAGAGAACGAAGCATGCTTTGGTATGTGACAAGAACTCGTCTCCGGTTCGAAAAATTTGCGTATGCATACTTCGAACTCTATGATAAATCTCGTTTTTATCTAGTCATCTAATTAAAGATTTGAACAAGCCAAAAACAAAAACAAACAGCAAAGGAAAAAATTCAAAAAGATTGGGGGAAAAAACACACATGCAGAATCATTAAAAACGAACATTATGAGTTCGTAGGTACTGTTACCATGAGATAGATGTGTTAAAAGTATGACTTTACGTGTATTGTTTTGATAATCGATAGATAATGCAATCGTTGTGCTCAATGATAACTCAACGGTTCCGAGTGACTATGTCCTCTTTCTTTTTTTTTCTGTCTTCCAGAAGAAAAAAAAATCAATCTTATTCTCATTACTACTCAATATCGGTTCGCACAATGTTCAATTTGTCCCCTGATAATGCATCAACATTGAAATTTCATCATTTGTTTTGTGTTGTCAAGTGTGCGACACGTTTAAACCCGTTCGTCGTGCCACTACTCGTTTTCATTTAAAATGGCATGCGGATCGATACGAACCAAAAACGCCAACGAAAAAAAAAGAAGAAGCGACACAGAGAAGAAAAAAAAAAGAGCTGTAATATCGAAATAAAACAGTCAAAGCAATAACGGCAATAAAAATCACGTGAATTTGGAAGCGAATATCGTTACAAACAGGATTCTATTTTCGCATTTAACCAGAAATAAAATGTATATTGTGCGTTTGTCAATGGGAGTCTAAACAAATGGGGCGAGTGAGCGTGCGCGCGTGCGCGCGCTCACAAATCCAGAGAAGCAACAGATAAAAAGCAAAGAAAAAGATAAATAGAGACACACAACAACAACAAAACAACCGAAATAAATGTGTCCGAAATCATCATCATCATCAAGCAATACTCACTTAATGAAAATAGATTCATTCCGTTGGAATTTTGTTTTGCGGCAACAGGAGAAAAAAAAAACAACAACCGCACGGTACCCGAGTCGTCCGATCAAATCTCGCCCGAGATAGATATCTTATTGTGTGTGAGCTTGAAAAAAGCGGTATTTAAATGATAAAAGTCGGTGTGTTTGTGTGTGTTTTTCTCTCTTCTATTCGGTGCTGTTGTCTTGGTGTTGCCAAATTACGTCAATAGCCCCCACACACAGATACAAGACAATGCACTAATGGTATTTTTGAATTCGGTTTGGTGCCACAAACGCGTTCTCGTGCCGCTCATTCAATCACTTGCTCCTCTCGCAATGATTTCTCAACACCCCGAGAGCACACCGTCAGTGTGTAACTCTTTCATTCAGTGTGTTACCGTTGGCCCGTTCGTTTTCATTTTTGCACACACACACACACACATACCGTGTATCACATTTGACATATCTATTATATTACATTTGCATATTTTAGCGAGCGACACACACTCTATTATACCTGCATATAATATGTACTTCATCAAGCATTCCCTATTTTTGTTTCAGTCGCCTCTTTTTTTTCGGTTGTGTGTATCTCTTTGCTGCCTTTCATTAAATTAATGCGAAAGAAACGAAAATGACAAAAAAACCACATACTCACAGTGGTGATTAACAATGACGCCTGCAAACCGTTCGATGGAAAATCAACAATTCTTGCGAAATATGCAAATGCGAGTGCCATATGAATGGCAATTCGAATGGCAACAATGCACGTAGAAGAGAAAAAAACACTTACTTACACCACACAGTGCGCCGTCGAGACAGAATGGAAAAAAGCCGATTTTGTTGCGAAGACAAGCGCAGAAAAAAAAATATATAAAATGTTTCGAATCATTCTTTTCCGGCTCCGTGTCATTTATATAAATGAATAAACCGAATACTTGCCGCATATTCATTATCAGCGTTAAAAAAAACGTGATAAAAAAATAAAATATTAAAATAAGCGTCAGAGAGAGAGAGAGAGAGAGAGGGAGAGAGAGAGAGAGGAGAAACAAAAAATAAATACATTTTATGGGTATTTACTCGGGTGCATGAAATAATATTGCACGGGTTTGTACGAGTCCGTGAGTGTGTGTGTGTGTCGAAAAGGCGAATCCGCACGTTTCCCTCCACGTGAACTCGCCAAAACACGTTACTCATGATATGCTTGTTGAATTAACATTCATTTCTATCCACCATTGAATTTTCGAGATTCTTCTTTTCATTTTTATTTTCATTATTTGCGCTTCGTTTACAATCGCAACGGAAATGAGATAGAGCAATTTCGCGAGAAGAGTAATAGCAGAGCGAAAAAGAAGAAGAAGAAGAAAAGCACGGTTGAAAAACTATTTTCAGCATTCTTATGACACATCCAATTGGGTAGGTAGGTTGTATTTCAAATCAAGAATAAAATAGAATGTGATTTGCCTACGATATTGATCGAAGAAAAGCCACTTTTTTCGAATTCTGAATTTGTATGAATCACATAGACCCCCCCCCACAACTCTGTGCTCAATCACTCGTTTTGAAAACAAAACGAAACAAAAACAAAAAAAAAACATTTTTAAACGGATCGCAAGGTGCTGTTCCGGCTCTCATACGATTCGTTTTTCAATTGTGAAAAGCACACATTCCGTGTGAATTGAAAATCCTGATTGCGACCATCTCTCACATGAT